TTGGACAGGCATGTGCCGGGCAGCGTTGCCGACGAGATTGCACTTTGGTCGCGCCTCGGGTTCTCTCATTTTACACTGCAGTACGGCACGGGTGTCTCGTTAGGTCTGGACGAATCCATTTCGATTGAAAATGCGTTGGGGCGTCGCAGTAGCTTTCCGCTCAAAACCATTCGACTACGCAATTTGATGCCGGTGCGGACCACCATGATCTTGTACAACTTGCTCTACAACGACATGTACTTTATTCCTACCAACACGAGCCTTATCCGCAACACGCCGAGCTTCTTTGGCCATGTGGCGCCGTTGGCCATTGAAGCCAGCATCCAGGGGTACCCGCTCTCGGCCTTGAACGCTGTCGTGCACGCAGCGATTGGCCCGCTTGGCGCCATTGATGCGATCTGGCTGCCACCGCCGTCCGCGTGGCGCCAGCACGTGCGAGCGTTCCATCGCGACGCCGTAGCGCGCATAGCACGCAACCGCACGCTTCACGAGCTCTTCCAGGCAAGCATGGCGACGATCGAGGTGCAGCCTGCCGTGTGGGCCCAAGACACGAGGTCGCAGTACTTTGGCCACTTTTTCTGCGGCAACAACCGCGCACTGCCCTTTGTGCAAGAAACGTTTGGGTTCAACGACGTGTGCAGCAGCCAAGAGCCGCTCAGCGTGCCCTTGCGCGGCCTCAATACCGTCTTTGCGCTGACACTGACGCCAATAGCATATGCAAAGTCCTTCTTTTGTGCCCAAGGCCGACACGACCACGACGCGGTAGCATGCATCGCCGCCTTGGACGCTGCAGAGCAGCTACGGGCTGCGCTGTGCCCCAACGTGTCGGCGGTCAACGTCGCCGCGCTCGAGCCGCTTGAGCTCGGCTTCCCACAGCTCGTCTTGCGCAGCCCTCGTGGCATTACGCTGGAGAGGCTCCTGATGCTCGACCCGTCTTGGCTCTTCTTTGGTCACATGGCACTCTTCGACTATGCGATGCACGATCGCGAAGCTCTTTCGATCCAAGGCGACGTCCAGTCACTCAACGTCCTCTCGACGTTCTATGTACCGATCCCAGCACCAGTGCCACCGGCGCCGTCGATGGCCATCGGGTCGTTCTTCTGGCTGGTCGTGGCCAGTGTGTCCTCGACGTACGCTTGCCTCGCGCTGGTCGCACTCGTGTTGCACACGCGTACATGCCACGTGAAGTACGTGCCGACGCACTGGGTCTTTGCAACCCCCGCCCTCAGCGCGGTTTGGATGAGCCGCAATGTACTTCTGCTACGGGGCGTCGCTGCGATGGCGTGTTTGGCGACGGCAACGGTGGAAGTGGCCTCGCCATTTCCCAGTGTTGCACGCCTCGTGCCCCGCCGTCGATCGCTCTTTTACTCGATGCTCTTGAGCAGCGACGCGCTTTGGCTAAGCTACGCTCTCCAAGGCGTGCTCTTGCCGATCACATTTTGCTACTTTGTACGCTATGGCCTTGGCGCACTCGCGCTAACATGGTGCCTTGTCGTCGCCATTGATGTGGTCGCCCCCGTCGAGATCTCGGCCACGCTCACACGGTCCTGCCACATGCAAAATATGGACTCGATGCTCTACTGCGATAGCGGCAATGTGGTCATTGGCCGCGTGGACCGACTCGTGCTGCTGTGCCTTGCCCAGATCGGCGTCGTCCTCTGCAGCGCGATTCTTGGGTGGGTGCGCACGCGTCGCCAACCTCGAGCGGTGCCTGCCCACCCGCTCTTGCCGCTTGCACTTGTCGCGATGCGCAGCGACGTGGGCCGGCTCAGCGCCGCGACCGCAGCTCTTTGCGGCTTGTGCTACGTCCAGTGGCACGGCACGTCGTATGCGTTTGACATCAAGCTCTGGCGGCTGCTCGTGGTGCGAAGCAGCAACATTTTGAAGGTTAACACTGTCGCGCCCTTTGACGCCGACGCGCCTGTCGCGGGGCCGGCGCCAATGCAGGCGCATCTCACCGAGCCGACGCGCTGGTACGTTTACACGCACGTGTTGGCGGCGGTCGCCTACCTTGTTTGCACCGTGTACGCCAATGCGGCGTACGTCGGCGCGCTCACAACGTCCCTCGCCAACGACTTTGGCTGGGAAGCGTTCAACACGACGGGCACACATGCGTTTTTGGCGAATGCATTCAACAAGGCGCTACTGACGACGTTGGGAGCGTCTGAAATGGCACTGGCAACCCCCGCGTTTGG